GAATCTAGTCAAGTGATAATATTGATTGAAAGTCAAAGAAGCTTATAGAGTGGTTAAGTGTTGTGCATGTTTATACAGATGAGGAAAGGAAGAGCAGTAAGAGTGAGGAAGAAGAAGTGAAAAAAGATGAAGATAGAGATGAGTCTAGTTTCATGTGAAAATTTTTCACTGGACACTGAATATTGTCAATTGTAAGTTTATTTTCGTTTTCATTTCTGTCTCCAAGTTGAACCTCAGTGTAATCTGAGAAAATATGATAATTGTGTTTAAGTGATAATCAGATTGAAAAGGAGGTCAAAAATGGATGAGATGAGACTAGTAAATAGTGTTGAGATTGCTTTCAATTTGAAACAATCTAAACAAACCACACAAAAACAAGTCACATTCAGGGTAACTCGATTGATTCAGGCTCTGTTTCCACGAAATTCAAGTGATCCAATGATTCTTCATTGCTCTTTGTTTTTCTTCGACATTTGAATATTAAAATTCAACTTTGTTCGACAATTGCAAATTGAAATCCTCCAATTTCCTGAACAGATTTATGTCTATTCAATGGAATTGTCGTAATCTCGTCGATCATTAGACTTGCAACAAACTGTACGTGAAGAGATTCGTTACAGATCACTGAAAATATTCATTAAAACTTCGAAACTTCGTTCGTCGCTTCAAGTTTATTAGCGAAATGGAGAAATTTGATTCTTTTCATGTGATGATTGAGATGTTGGCTTGCAATCAAATTAGCGATCAAATTGGATAATACAGTTGGGTGAAAAATGGAGAAAGATATTGCTCATTGATAGAACTTTTGGCTCGAAGAAAAGAACTGAAAGCGGACTCGAGACTCTAAGAGGTACACAAAAGCTTTTGATTAAATATTTGCAAGAAAAGGTTCGCTTATAATAGCGCAATGGTATTTATTCAGTAAGTTTTTGCTCTTAATTAAAATTCCTTTTCTTTCCAAGTCTTTTCATTCAAATCAGCTTTCCTTCTGACATGATTCCTTTTACCTCATAAATGTATTCACTGTGCTATCAACAGTTTTCCAATAAACCTTTTAATCTTTCATGTTTCATGGTTTACTTTCTTTTGTATGTTCATCTTAATGAGAAAAGGATCATTATTAACTAATTTCCAGATGAAATCAATCCTTTGTTTTAATTATTAAGTCATCTCAAGTCATTTGAACAGCCATTCAAGTCATAAAATTTGGGTTAACAAATTGAATCCCAGAAATTTGTCTGAAATGTAAACAATAAACTGACATTTCAAGTAAATTCAATATGCAAACTTAGCTACTTGAGATGCTTTCAAGTGTTTTACTTAATTTCATCATCATCGATTCCAATTGCTAAACTAAAAGATCTTCAATCAACTTTTGCATGATCGAAAGAGATGAGAAAGGAACAAGTTTCGATTAAAATAAATTTTCGTTGAAATATTCGTTCCATTTAAAAATCGAGAAGAACAGTTAAAAGAGGTAAAGCATCTGCGAAAAGCAAACCAAATGGAACCAGAGCAAGACTTATAACTAAGGATACCGAAGAAAATCGAGAAAAGACTGAATTTACTGTTGAATGGCGAGTTATTCAAACGAAAGGAAAAACATAGAATCAGAAATTGGATGATGATGAAGTCAATAGGATTAAGATATTGGAAACAGTGAAAGACAATCGACATTGATCCAGAAGCATTAACCAACTCTGCACAATTTGCCATTGCGATAAACTTTAATCTTAGGGAATATCGATTGAAAATCGTTTCCATTTTAGGCAGTTTAGGGTCATTTAAACATTTTTTGGGTAAAAAATTTCTTCAATTTAGACTTTTTTATATTGAACTTGGCATCAATTTGAAGACAAAAATTGAAGCCAAAACTGTTCATTATTTTTCTTTTCGCTCATTCACTGCTTTTCTACTCGATTTCTGCTCTTAATCTGTTTGCTCTTCATTCTGTTGGTTACTTCCCAATATCATCGCCCTCATCATCATCATTAACTTTTTTTTCTTCCTTCTTTTGTCATCATTCTCTTTACCCTTTCTTATTCTTGTAATTCTTTTCTTGTTTCCATTCAAATGTGAAGATCATGCTAATAAAGATGACCAGTAGGTGGTCATTCAGTATAACATCAAAATCTCATCAAACCCATTATCAATTGAATTTCTTGCTATTCACATATTAGTTGCACTCTTTTCCCTCATTTTCTTCAAGTTCATCATTTTGTTTCCTCTTTTTTTCCTCTTCTTCAGCCAACAAAGAAGGAAAAAAAGAGAAAAATCAATGACATGAAGAGTCACAGATATTTTCTCATTGTCAATAATGCAATACACCTAATTGATTCATGTATATCAACAGTCTGCAAAAACAGTATCTAATGACAATCTTAAGAGTGAACAGGAAAAAAGCAACCGACTAAACTATGCAAGACGAAATGAACCTTTTACCCTTTAAGAGTCTCTTAACATTTTTTTCCTTTTATTCAACTATTGACACTATCAGGTAACAGGGTATTTATTTCACTGCAAAAACTCCAAGGATATAAACTAGGAAAGAAAGAGAAAATTTCATTCCATCGTCATCTCACGAGTTCTATTCAACATCGTCTAAATCAAACTTAAAAAAAAATTAAAAATTAGAGAAAATAGGGCAGAAATTTTCTTTCGATTCACCCTCAAAACATAACGCTCTTGTATCGATTGAAAACTGCACTCCCAGCTGGGAGTATGCACAAGACATTGGATATAATACTGACCAAGCAGCATTATCATAGCAAAAAGCAACATTTTGATCAGTTTGAGAAAATTTCATTGAAACATTTGAACTTTGTCTTCTGAAACTTCTTTATGTAAGCAAAAAAATTGAGTAGACCCAAAGCTAGTCATACAAAATCAATTCTTATACCGAATGCTAGACCTTGAAATTTTGACTACACAAGCTTCTTGAGTTGCTTCAGAACTTCGAAATGACTGAAGAACACAAGACTTAGAGAAACGTAGACTATACTCCAAGAACGAAATGATTCGTTGCCTCGTCAGCATCAAGTCAAGTCAAAATGCTTAACTTTGGTTATGTCAGCTCAATCCATAAATTATATGCAAGAAGATTGACTTCTGACGAAAAGTGTTCCTCTATCGAAAATCGAATTCGAATGAATATTTTTAAAAGAATTTTGATTTTTCGAAAATTTTCATTCCTCTCTTTTTACGCCGCATTTTCATGGGCCCAGTTTTCATCGCTTCAACAGTGGCACTTTAAACAAGCTTAACTTGCAGGAAATGAATTTTTTTTGTTCTTAATTCCTATTGCACTCAAACACTATTGACTTTTGATGAGCAAAATGTTTTTACTCTTTCGGTTGACTTGAATGATGAGATTCAGTGATTGCTATCAACTCTTGATAATTGTTACGTTTCTATTGATCAAATATAATTAACTCTCATTTGATACTCAGCCCATCAACCCTCATGATTTTTATCATTATCATTCTTTACAGTCTTTCCTCTCTTTTTTACACTCTGCTTCAGGATTCTCATACTCAATACATGAGCTCTTTTGGGATTCAAAGTGATGCTCAATTCTTTCTCTTGATTTCATTCTCTTGGGTGATTAACAAAGTTATCCTTTTTTTTTGTTTCTTTTCCCTTATTGTTTACAATCAAGATCTTATATCAACTGTTAACACAAAACCATTGAACCTTTCCATTGATTACCAAGCAATCCTTTTCCTTCTCATCTCTTTGTTTCACTTTGATACAACCATGCAATGCAATATTAACAAAATTAACTTCACAATCAATTACATTCCAAGTTTTTGTTGACCATCATTTGCGTCCTTTCCTTTTCTTTATCTTTTCATCCCTTTCCGAGTTTCCTTTTGTCTCAATGTTTTCATCACAAAGACTCTACAGGTTACTGGGAAGCATAATTATTTACAATTAATCAACACGCAAAGGATCAATGGACAGAAAGAAAAACAAGAGAAAGTGAAGAAAAAAAGTTGAACCCAAAATTTGTTCGATTGTTGGACAAAATCAGTTTTTTTTCTTGTTGATTGATGGTTTCACTGTTCCATGTTATTACTGTTGTTTTTGTTGTTGCTATTCTTGTCCTTTCTTGATATTGATGCAGTCAACAAATGGATTATTACTGATGACAATATAATGTCTAAATCATCATCTTCACTTTCGCTTTAGTTTTTTGCCTATTTCTTTATTTGTTATTTACCTCTTTTATTGATTTGCTCAAATGGTTTAACTCGTTACCTGAGGTTGTTTTATTAACATATAGATGACTGATTAGACTGTTTCAATTGATTGTTCAAGATAATTTTTCACCAACTTTTTTGTTCGAAAAATGAATTTGCTTCAGTTAATCATTTGTCAAACTTGTAATCACTTTTCATGATTAATCGTTTTTCATTATCATTTTGGCACTTCAATGGATAATTCACACTTTTATTGGATCTAGTTTCAATTACATTATATAATCCTTTAAGTCTCATGTTATTTGAAAAAATTTTGCCCCTCTCATTGTCTTAATCTCTACTTCTTCAAATTCATCTCGAGTGCAAAAGATTTATTTTTAACAAATTACTGGTTCAGTTTGTTGAGCGGCAAAAGTGACATTATTGTAGTTAGATAATTTGATGCATTTCTTGCAGAATTCATAGATACAAGTTATGGAAATGAGAATAGATTGAGAATATCAAAATTTTATGTCAAATGAAAGTCTAGCCTAAGATATTTTACCTTTTCTCAGATGAAAAGTTCATGAAATTGTACTGCAAATCGCTGTTTATTTAATGATAACTAATAGTTTAAGTCAGGCTTGAAGGGTAAAACGCAATCAACTATTTCTGTTTTTATATTAGAGGAAGGAATAAATATTAATAATTTCAAACAGATCAACTAGTTTTCACCAGAAAATTGACCCCCGAGTTCATCAAGATACATGGAGCAATCAAAAAAGCTCATCAATATGAAATTAGGATGAATCGAACTAATTTCTATGCATTTCGTTATTCTTTTATTTTCAAAATTCTCAATCTATTTAAAATACAGCTATAAATATGGGGAACTGCAGTATTAGATCAATTAACAGCGTTAGAAACAACACAGGTTTCGCCAAAGCATTTATGAGTCTCATGTTGCTTTAACCCGAAAGCCCTACCATGTTACCATATTGTTTCGCTCCTGAATTAAAGGCAAATAAAGCAACAAGAGCACACCATTAGAATATGCACAGTAATTCAAGACGAATGAAAACTTTATCATCTTAAAACTTGCAAAAATATAATTTCTTTTGAATCCTGCATCTGCACAATTTAAATACTTACCTTGATCATCCAAAGCTTGGACCATATTTAAACTGATGAGAGCGCTGAAAAGGACGAGCAATATAATTTTTGTTAATCGCATCTTAACTGCTTGTAAAATAGTTTTGAGCACAAAAAAAACAAAACTAGAGAATAATAAAAGCTTGAAAAAACTGAGACTAATATCATTTCTTTGTAAACCAAATCTTTTTATACTTGGCTTTCTTATTTGCTCAGGCACATGATGTTATTGATTTACAATGAATATTATCATGTGATCGAATACAAAAAGGCCATCTCTGGGAATATTGTAAATTTTTGTTTGATTAATCACCAAAATTTACTTATTTTTGTCTGAATAAATATCACAGACTAAAAGAGCCAAAAAGGTGACATTGAAAAATGCAAATTTCTTTACATTCACAATTGTCAGTTGAGTAAATCAAATGCTGTCTAGACATTAGCATTAGTGTTCATGGAAGACGGCTTTTTTGACGAAGCTGCATAAAAGGAGTAAAAAAGTCAGAAAACTAAGTTTACCAAAAAAATATTCACCCATAATTGTCGCAAAAGAATTAAATTTTGACGCATATTTCTAGTTTGCTTGGTCAAACAACACTTTTCACTGACCTTTTTACATAATATTGAAATGAAAAATGCGAGTTTGTTTGAGACTCTTGCATCTGTGTCTAGCCATTTCATTTAAAATTCAATTTAAAATGTCTCAGCTTTCAATTGTTCTACCTTGAGATAAAGTGAAGATAAAAATATCGAATGAAAATAATTCTGACAAACGCATCATGATCAAGGTTTATCAAGAGTATCAAGTTTATCTGGTTTATCGAATTTAAAACTCTATCGATTTTTTTTGAGAAACAAAAAGAAGCAAAAAAACTAGCAATGAAAGAAGAAACGAGGCAAATAATGTTTGTCAAGATTAAGATCATTATTGATGGGAGATGAATCAAACACGATTTACCTTTGAATGTAAAGAGAGAGAAAAGCAAAGATGAAAATTTGCTTCCTTATATCCTATCATCATCACCATCATAATTATATCCATCAATATCTTCATCTTGATCATCATAAACATCAGTGCATCAACATAATCATCATTTTCTTCTTTGCCTTGATTACACTAAATCCTGACCTAAACCTTGTAACCTTTATGTTTTACAGGTTTTTCATCATGGCTATCGATGATCATGATGATGATATACAATTCCATATCTGTAACCATCTTTACGAAAATCATTTGATACTCAGCCTTTTTCATCAGATTTATCTTCATCATCTTTTCTCCATGCATTTCCTTTTCTCATCTAAATGATGTGTTTTTAGTATAAGAAGTTTGACTCTGATCACTTAATCTTCTCCTCGATCATTTACAAAAATGAATGAAACATTTTCTCGATCATCACGAGCTGTGAAAAGAGAGATACGAAAATGCGTTAAATTTGTTCGCTATAAACAGAAAATTTTTCAAAACAATTTTTCCATTCTCTGGAAAAAAAAGTTTTTCGTAGAAACGCATTTGATAGTTGTTCAAGCTCAAGCAACTTTACCAGTTGAAGTTCATCATTTGTTTTTCATTTGCAAAGAGAAACTTTTTTTCTCGTTGTCCAGCTTGGAGTTAAATTTCATGGACGACATTTGACTCTTGAAAATGCAAAAGATTTTGAAAACCTTAGTCGAACTAAAAATAACTTTAAATTATCAATTTTTCTGAGTTGCATTTGTTCGAGGGCAAGATGATTTTCCAAGCAACTGCAACCTCATTGATTCGCACACAACCCTGTTTAATCTCGATGCCAATCATTGAGATTAACTCGAGGGAATTGGAAAAGGTGAAGAACAGAGAAATGGTTGAAACATGGTGAGGATGATAATCTTGTTTGGGTTACTGTTTTTAAACAAGTAACATGAGACTGGAAAGGGAATGACTGGCAAGGATAAAAGTGTTATCATTATTTCTTATTTTATTGTTTCTTTCTTTTTGCCTTTTCTTTCTTTTTTATTGTTTTATCGCTATTTTTGTAACGATATAGTTTTAGCCATTGCAAGATGACAACAAGATGATAATGATGATGAGAGAGAGAGAAAGGGAAAAAAGAGAAAAAAATTGATAACAAATTTTGATATTCTGTTTACGTCTCAACTCATATTGGATTTTGTTGTTGTCATTTCCTCATGTTGCTCACTCCAATCATGAGCAATCTCCAAGTTCAATTCTTCAGATGCAAGTAAAGATGAAAAGAAAAAATTGAAGTGAGAGCAAAAGGAGAAGAGGATAAAGATGAAGATGACAACAAGGCATCACTATTCATTTGTATCTTTCGATATTTTTTTCTGTTATTTTATTTTCGCTCTTATAGCTTGTAGAGAAAAAGATGAAGAGAGAGAGAGAGAGAGAGAGAAAAAAGATGATACTGATAATGATGATAGATCCAAAGAAGATAAAGATGAAACAGTGATGATAAAAATGATAAATCCTTTTACCGAGAATAGAAGAATCAAAGGGAAGAGAAGAAAAAAAGTTGTCCAAGAATAAGCATCTTTAAGAATTGTTGCCTTCTTCCATATCAGTTTTACTCATCTAATTTTGATCTTATTTACTTTCATATTATATTCCATTCATAAAGGTTATCAAACAAGTCTCATGTAAAGAATGAAACGATGAAAAGCTAAACAACTCTGATTCAACATTGATTCCATTGATTCCATTTCCATCCAAATCAGGTCAATAATTGTCATCGAATTGATAAAAAAAAAGATTTCTTTTGAATATTCATCCATCAGTTTCCATTGAAAATTGTTTGCATAATTATCAGTTTCAGTTTCAAGAAAAAAGGAGATTTCACCAAAATCATATTCGACAAGGAAAAGGACAACTTTTGTCGAAACTTTTGTTGTTGATTAAAGTTCAGTTTCGTTTCATGTCGAGTGAAAAAATGCAACTTGTTCCAAGTGAAAAACGATTTTCCCAGAAAATTGTAAACTTATGATAAACTCTGAAAACTTTGATTTATCCTTTTCTCTTCTGTTCCAATCAATCTAATTAACTGTAATTGCTAGCAATTCAATTGACCCCTGTTTTCCATCCAACCAAGAATTATTTGATTACTTCAGACAACATTGATAACATGAATATTTTGTTGAGTTTATTACTTCAGTTGCAGTAAATGGTAAGAAAAGTTTTGTCTGTAAACATGATCATGATTTCCAGGAACCTCAAATTTTCTCTCCATTCTCAGTCTTCCGTACAAATAAATAAACAAATTAGCCGATTCATTAACCCTTTCAAATGAAACACAAAAGTTGGCCCAACAAAGCCTCACCCAATACCATCAACATTGAAGCTAATAAGACGATAATACAAGTTGTTTCATTCATTTTTTTCTTTCTTTCGTTGGTTCAGTTTTTTTTCACCCAACAAAACGTAAAGCAAAAAGAAAGGTTAATCTTGATAATCATCATTATCTAATAATAATCTTTCACTTTTCACTTTCTTTTTCCTCGCCATTTATCATCATCATTATCATCAACATGAACATAGTTGGTGTAATAATCTTGGCCAGATAATTAGTTACATTTACAAAACATTAATATTTTCTCATCTTTTCAGGTTAACTTTACTTCTTGCACTTTCTTGTTTCTTTTCTTGTACTTTCCAGGTTAATATTCATTCTCATAATAATATCTACATAAATATGGTCAAGTTTACTTTGCCTTTTATTTTTACTCATTTTACCATGTTCTTAATGTACCTTTATCAGGTTATTTTCTGATACTAATATCTTGAGTAAACAGCCTTTCAACTCTTTTTCCTTTTCTGGCTACAGAATCTTTTTTTCCTTCTTCCTCCTTCTTTTGCTTTTTCTCTAGCATTTTGTCTCTCTCTGTGTGTGTGCTTTCGTTACACTCACTAGATGTGAGGTTAACATGTGTACAACACTGAATTGCAAGATAAATGAACAAAAGTAAATGATTCGAAGCCTTTGACCGTCTATTAGAGATGACAGTAACAGGATAAATTATGGCAAACTGTAATCGTCAACTGAAGAATGATAATCATTGTTTCCTTCTGTGTAAGCATGGGATCAACTTTTTGCTTCCTCAAAACTCATTTTTACCTCGTTTATACCGATGGTCACATTATCTGCTAGATTATTCAGTTTCCCATTGAAAGAGGCCTCAGATTAATGGACTTTTCAAAAGCAAAAAACTTTAAACTCTTTTTTGTTGCTTGTCAAACTCAACTTTTTTATCTGTCTAAAACTTTCTACAAATATCGCAACAAAAACTTAAACTTGGTTGAATCTTGCGAATCAATTTTAAAACAAAAACTTCTGCAAACTAACCTAACCTTAGCTAACCTGAACCAGTCAACTTCAAAGCCAACTAGTCGGAGATCCGATAGATTTGTTTAAGACTAAGAAACGTCAAAAAATTATAAAGAGCAACTTTGATGAAAGTGAAAATTGCTTGCATGAGTCACTTGTATGACAGCAAAGTTTAACCAACTTTTTTAACTCGATGACTAATGTTCAACGCGTCTCAAACTTTGATATGCATCATTGGGTTATTTTGCACTATTATTGTGACACTTATTTGGTTAAAGTTAAAAGAGCTTATAAATCTTAATTTTGATTCAATATGACAATGACCCTTTAAGTGGATCATCATCGGCATCGGACTTTATAAAATCTTCAGCTTATCTTCAATATCCTCTATTTTTATTGAAATAAAACACTGTGAAGGCTTTAAGTCAATTTGGTAATTCGAGGGATCCACCGCTTGGAGATGTAACTTTGCCACCGTTAGACCTTTAATGAGTATGCTAAATCTACATTGAGAGGGTCAAAACAATTGTATTCAAAACAGTTTAAAAAAGGGGCATCACTGGTAATTGATCAGTCACGACTCGGAATTTCAACGAATCAGAACAAAACTAGATTCTAAATTTTGAAGATGGAATGCTAGACTTTCATATGTCCAGCCATTCCATCCATATTTCCTTATTCTCGAGTCAAAGACCAATCTGATCAAATAATGACTATCTAATATTGTCTGTCCTTGACTCAATCATTTTCCCAAATAAACTTCAATAGCACAATTTTAATGTGTTCAAACATTCAACAAATGATTCAACTTTCCGTTTCCGTAGAAAAATCGAGCAAACTCACTATTTAATTGTTAATCA